ATGAATAGAATAGACATGGCGAGGCTCATCTCTCTCTAGGTCAGACTATGACCTTTGATTTGAAGGCTCCACTTGGTTACGGAAGCATTTACATTCGAACTAATATCCTCATTTTGTTGTTGTTATCACAGTGTTTCAATATTAATATTAACTATTCTTCAGAATATTTATTTTTTTGTTTTTGAAAATATATGTTCTTCAATTAAAAACGTATATATCTGTCCTTTAATGACAAATATTTTAAAAAAATCTATTTCACTAGACAATTCTTATTGTCTAAGATATTTTCTTAAAACACATAAAAATATATATATATCCGTTTGTTCTTTTGTAAAAGTAAAATTAATAATTAAAAATCTAGTACGCAGATATCAATGACGGAAGTACAGTTTCAAATGTGACAGTTTCAAATAGTTTTGATATCTCTTCAAAGTCAGTGATCCATTTTATAATGTATCGCTTTTATGAAAGGGACTCTCTAAATCCATAACTAATCAATATTTGGGGGTTCTGACAATTGGTACTGCCTAAAGAAAGTCTAAAGAATGCTAATTTAAAAATAAAAGCTATTTCAAAAAAGTTTTTCCTCATTTTCATAAGTAGACCAGTTAAATGCCAGAAGTCAGTATTTTAGGGTTCTGACAAGTGTCGCGGCTAAAGGAAGAAATAAAGAATGCTAATCTAAAAAAAGAAGTTATTTAAAAAAGGATTTCCCTATTTTTTATAGGGAGACCAATCTATTTATGTAGTGCCAAAAAAAAAAATCAATATTTTGAGGTTCTGACAAGTGTCGCGACCAAATGAAGATCTAAAGAATGCTAATCGGAGAACCGAGTTCGAATTCCAGTCGAATCCATTACATTTACTTACGTGCTAATACTGTTGGGAAAGGTATGAAATTTTTTCTTCTCCACCCAGCTATGGGTAAATAGCAGGGCAGACTAGGTTCTGTAGCCTTGGATGGCAACTGGTCTACCGCAGAAAGAAATGGCAAGCTACTGCGGGAAAAAAATCTGCCTCGTGAGTCATGTATCGAAAGATAAATGATCACCTACGCGTGTATCACGCATGGCACATAACTGACTGAGTTTATTTAACTCTGTAATGACAGAATATGTGGTACAAGGCCGAAATGGGGAAGAGGGAAGTGTTCGGTCTTCTGTCTTAACTTTAAACTTAGCTAGCATAAACGCTGACCCAATCATACTTAAAATATTCTTTACACCAAAACAACACATTCTTACTTACCTTTCTCACCACATCCAACATAATACCTCAATGTCTCCATGAAAATACTAACTTGTCCTCATATGTACAATATATCGTCTGTGGTGGTGGTGGGGGATAAAACATTTTTAAAACTAGCCCCAATAAGTATTTACATTATGAACTAATAACTATTTACAAGAAACTAAATAAAATCATGTTAACAATAAAAATAAACAAAAAAAAAACCCACAATCACTAAATGTGGCAGAGACATCAGTTAACTGGACGAAATTAATGCGGGACTATAATAATATAAAGCAAACGTTCATCCCAAGCACTCACCAGACACGCACTCATTCAGACACAACAACAAATACGAAAACACACACACGAAACGAAAGACGCCCCGCATCCACCAGAGAACTGATGTCACTGACCACCTAACGAGGGAGGGGATGGGGAATTAACTTAAAGAAAAATAGGGACAGAAATAAAAGGGGTCAATGAGTATACATACCCTAGCTGCAAATAACTGACTGAATCAACAAAAAATATTCCCAGAAAAATTTATCCTTATTTTTACGAGTGGACCTGTCTATTTAAGTAGAGCAAATACATTTATGAAGACTGACAAATTTTCACATTTTTCCTTAGTTTTAACGATTTCAAATTCTTTTGTCGATAAAGTGCTGATGCGTTATCCCACCTAGTAACGGCTTGTAGAAACAAGATATGATGTTCTGCATTCTTAATTCATTACTGCTGACTGAAACTGCTTAATTCTATAGAGAATTGCAGAATTAGTGTGGCACAGTATAAACACAGTCATTGACAATGATAGATTATAATCAGTGAGGACCCATGTGCAATGAATATTGTAACCTATATAATACAAAGAAAAAAGAATGATCACTTGACAACACCTCGTTATATTTGGTACCAGTGACTATAAAAGAGGTATATTTGGCACCGTGACCAATTGTAGGTATACATATGGATTACTAATCTTTTCCGTGCTTGCAAAACCAAATAAAGGTGTGAAATATCGTACTTTTGCATTCGACTGCCTGAAGAGATCCAAGGTCAAACTTATGGTGCACTGACTTCTTTGATGGCCTGGTGTGATATTGAGCGCAATGTTTATTTTGGCAACAAACTGCATCTGTACTGATCCAATAAGGTTAACAGAAATTATCAATAATACAATTTTATTATTGTTGTGAAATATTTTGTGAAGAAAACGTATTTAAATCATACATAAAATGTCGCTTCTCTGTCAAGGAACTTCTCCTAACGCCCGCTAGATGGCTATAGCAAAAGCAGTATAAAGAAAATAGCTCTCTCTCTCTCTCTCTCTCTCTCTCTCTCTCTCTCTCTCTCTCTTTGCTTCACTTTACCACAACATGCCGTAAGAATCAAATATGTTTTGTCCCCCACTCTCGCTGTCCCTTTTGCTTCTATTTCAGAGGTGTCAACTTATATCCTTTTGACCAGGCTCCGAGATTCTGGCGTGAACACTGGTTTCGGCTAACATGAAATGTCTCTTAGTGTCAATATTTTTGACTGGCCAAAATTATTTTATTTTTTGGCGTTCCTTTCTTTTTCATTTTTTTTTTTTATAACGGAAGTTATGTGTGGAGCCTCCCTGATTTTTACTAGGTATCAGTCATTAGTAGGCTCTATTCCTGCAAATTTTCGGCGTTTTCCGGTCGCGTACACTCTTTTTGTAACAGAGAGAGGTTGACGCACATGAATGCACACACGCAAATATAACGTTTATTGATTGAAGATGGAAAACACGATCTTCCGTGAAAGTTACAAACTGTGTCAGCGCTATTAATCGGAAAAAATCTGGAACAATGATATATGAAACCTGAGACGGCTGATGGATAAAGAATAAATTTCAAATCGGGTTGGCGAGGACTTGTTTATAAACAAATACAAAAGGGTAGGAGGCGATGTTTAATTTGGGTCATTAAAAAAAAAAATAGACGAAAATAATATTTTTGATAAAAAATATTGAAGTAAATTGGACCGGGGAGGTAAGATCAGTGTATGTTTACCGCTAGCGAAATCTGATCTAAACATAAGTTGTATCCGCTGAATTTGGTCACCGAAAAGACAATTAATATGAACATTGAACTAATTAATTTTATCCACTAAGAGATTTGAAATAGATCTGAATTTAAACTTTGCTTATGGTGACACTCGTGTTAAGCGCGGGAACAACCTGGCTTATAACCTTCGGTTTGGTATATAAATGCGAGTTTTGCTGAGTTGGGGAGAGGTGGGCGTTAGACGAGAGTGACGTTGAGAGAGAAAGACTGTCGTTGCAGTGAGTCGGTCCAGTGGCGAGTCAGAGATAAGGACTTCAAGCAATATCATCGTCGTTGTAGCAGTCGCATAGAAAAGTCGCTGAAACTTAACGTTTGTCACTTACGACAACCAACTGAAAAGCTACACTTCCACGTAGGGCTGGAATTACGAGTTACATATCCTCCCAAGTTGATTTGGAACGAGTTAATCACACACACACCTCTATCTGTTGGTATAATTGGTAGAGGAGTGGTCCTCTGTTCTTATATTAATTGCTTTTCTATCCTTTCTGTAAACTCTTTCTACTGTTGTTTTCTTATATAAAAGACATTAATATTTTGCCCATTGTTGTTCGGCTTCTGCAGATATTATTTCCTTGTTTGCCACATTCTAATTTTCCTGCTGCCCACCCTCACAGCCGTGCTTACATTTCCAATCGACCGTGAACGTATGGACAACACCCCGCTTACTGGATTTAAAAACTAACACAACGTGGGCAGCAGGCGGAACTTGGCCAGTGACCGGTCGAACAATCTACGGGTACTCAGGCAGCGTGCGGCCAGCTACCCCTGAGTTCAGTTCAGACCGAGTGGGCGCCTCAACCCAAAGAGGAAGACGCCGGAAGTTGAGGGGCTGAAGGGACGAGTGGTAGATTTCTTCTTCTTCCTCTTTTTATTTGAGGGTTGCTTTCTCGTTAGTAGATAGAAGTATAGAAAGAGAAGTTCAGAGAGAGAGAGAGAGAGAGAGAGAGTGAGAGAGAGAGAGAGAGGTTTTAAAAGAAAGCGCAATGCCTTATTTTAATTTGAATTCTTTTTATTTTTGTTTGAATATTTTATTTTTATATCTTATTTTATTTTTATTGGGACTTACTACAAATTCATTATATTGTCTCTGTCATCTCTCGCTAACAATTTGTAATAACCTTCAACAATTTGTAAAAATTGCTACATAAAATGGTGATTTCGACACATCTCTTAAAATTGTTGTCGCACTTTCAACAATACGTATTTTTTTTTTCATTTTCTGCAACAGTGCACCAACAGCCAGGTAGAATGTAATGGGATACATTTTAAACATACAATATTGTATTTTCTAGTGTTATTTCTTACGGTTGTTTTATTTCCATAATGTTCTGGACGCTTTGACCGCAAGTGCTCATTCGTACGACCTCTTTTTTCATCAGGCTTAGCGTCCAAACATTCAAGCAGTTCAAATACAGATCGTTGTTTTCCGGAAAGCGATAGTTTCCGGAAAGCGTCAAGTTTAACGTTGCTTCCTGGCCTCCCACGGAAACTTTAATTCTTCAAGAGTAAAGGAATGTAACTCTATTCGTTGACTACTGTCAATCCTCTTTGAGGTTCAACCTAGCCTGTAAGAGTGGGTCAACACCAACATTCTATATCCATTTTCCCATACCAAATCTGTTATAACTAATCCATACACTGAAATATTTAGCATTTACTATTTCCATGGTTTACAGCCATATCACGTTGAAATATCGGTTTTCGTACGATCACCGAAGTTAAGAAACATCGAAGTTGGTCAGTACTTAGATGGGTAACCGCTTAGGAATACTAGGTACTGTAAGATTGGATGTGCGGATGGTATAATGGATAACGGCTCAGAATTGCAAATCGGAGAGTCGAGTTCTGATTCCAGTTGGGTTCGTTATATTTTCTTGCGCGCAAATAGCATAAGGAAATTTATTAATTCAACTCTTCTCCCCCCAGATATGGGTTAATTAGTAAGATTTGTATCGCTAAATCATTATTATCTAAAAAAAATTCTTACAATCTAAAATTATTTTTTGGCTTTAAATCATACTTATTATAAAACCCAGGTTGTGTGTGTGTGTGTGTGTGTGTGTGTGTGTGTGTGTGTGTGTGTGTGTGTGTGTGTGTGTACGTTTATATATTGGATCGGATTTCCTACATTTTTCAACCGATTTCAACAAAACTTCACAGGACTACGTAAAATTCCCTTGCGGTGGTTCTGACAGCGCCAAAAATTGGAAAAAACACAATTGTTTTTGCACGAAATCAATTTGAAAACACGATTAAGAGGCATCGCGAGAATGAAAGGGGGACAACTCATATCGAGTTATACTTATAAAACCCAGGTTGTTTGTGTGTGTGTGTGTGTGTGTGTCTGTGTTCGTTTATACATGGGATCGGATTTCCTACATTTTTCAACCGATTTCAACAAAACTTCACTTTTTTTTAGCAGGTAGTGTTTCTTATTGTCTTACACACTTTTTTTTTTTATTTTTACATTCAGAATGCTTTAAAAATTCCATTTACAAGACAATTGTTTATAATAAAATTCTATTCAATCGGTAGACTCATAACGATTGAAAACAATGTTTTTGTTTGAGTTTGGGTTTGACCAATTCTTAAAAAAAAAAAAAAAAAAAAAAATTAAGACATGAGTGTCCGTCAACCTTTTTCAGTCTTTCTGATGGTTGATACTTGATCTATCTCTTACTGTTACATCCACGGGCAACGCCGGGCTCTACTGCTAGTAACCTATAAAAAGTTGATAAACCGTAAAAAAAAATCAAAAAAAAAAAATCAAGCAACTATTAGTACAGATATGACAGCATTTGATGAGCTTTCTTCTTTGATACCTAGACTTTATGAATTTAAATGCAGTATTTATATTTTCGGTTGGAGTGGCTAGATATTCCTTCTATTGCACTTCTTGCTTGTTTCCGGCCTTTTGTTTTCAAGTCAACTTTGATCTTGAAAATTTTAAATGTAATGTCAATCTTCTTAATTCCTGTTTTTTTATTATTATCTCTCCTAAAGAATGATTTATTGTTCTTATATTCTTTCACACACAGTAACTACTTTTATCTTAGTGGCTTTATTGCCTTTCTTGGGGTGAAATGATTAAAAAATATTCGCTACTAATTAAAGGCACTGATAATTCTTTTTTATGTGCGTACGTAGAGAGAAAGAGGGGGAAAGGAGAGGTATGTGTGTGTGGGAAAATAATCTATTTTATAAATGCTCTGTACATACGATTCTACCTGAATAGAACACGCACTGATACTAACCCTCCAATTGGCATCGTTTGCAATTCGTGTCTCTTCGACAGCTCACAGCTGCTCGTTCTCTTTATATATATATATATATATATATATATATATATATATATATATATATATATGTGTGTGTGTGTGTGTGTGTGTGTGTGCATATTTAAATTTAAAACAGCGTAGTGTAAATATAAATCCAGCTGTATTTCTTATCACAACAGTTCACAAATCTAATCTACTTGTCAAACACACATAAAAAAAATCAAACTATGAAAACACACTGGCAAATAATTGTCGTACTTGGAGTTATTGTCCTTTTGCTTCTTCTTTGGTTAGGTTATTGTATTCTACAAAGAAAAGGACGAAAGTGTACAAGCCAGGCAAAACTTACAGGGAAGACTGTCATTATTACTGGTGCTAACAGTGGTCTTGGAAAAGAGACAGCTCTTAATCTTTCGCTGAGAGGTGCCAGAGTTATACTAGCCTGTCGAGATCTGGAAAAGGGAAAAGAGTGCGCTGATGAAATCCAAAGAAAATCCGGGATGCAAGTACTTGTCCGGCAACTGGATTTATCTTCACTCATATCAGTAAATGCTTTTTGTAGGCAGATTCTCGAGGAAGAACCCAGGCTGGACATTTTGATTAACAATGCAGGCGTCTTTCGATGTGATTACACTAAAACGGAGGATGGTTTTGAAATGCAGATGGGGGTCAATTATCTTGGACATTTCGCCCTGACAAATGCCCTGTTGGTTCTTCTGAAAAAGTCAACCCCCAGTCGAGTTGTCAACGTCGGCAGTTTTCTCTACACCAAGGGCAATATTAATTTCGATGATTTCAACTGTGAAAAGTCCTACGACCGAACAATGGCATACTGCAACAGCAAATTGGCCAATGCATTCTTTACTCGCGAACTGAGCAAACGTATCGATCATAGCGAGGTTTGTGTTTATTGCGTCAATCCAGGAATAGTACGAACTAATCTTTTGAGACATTCTGTTCCAGGTTTTATAAGAAATTTACAACCTTACTTACCAATGTTTCAAAATGCAAAAGACGGTTCGCAGACAATTGTCTATTGTGCTGTTTCTGAAGAAATTTCAGACGAGAGTGGATTCTACTACCAAAACTGCCGACGGAAACGGTGGCATCAAAAAGCTATGGATGATGATCTTGCTAAACGTCTCTGGGAAGTCAGTGTATCGCTTACGAACTGATGATTTCAAATGTTTTAATATATCTTGTCGTGATAGAAAAATAAATATATAAAAATAAACAAATAATAAAAAAGAGACCAAAATTTCACCATCTCTAAAAATAGATGTATATTCATTAACCAACCAGAAGCCAGGCTACGAACATCCTAGTATAGCGAGCGAATTAAAAACTAGAGCTGTTCCCAACCAGGATATAACGTCATTAATCGTGAGCCAATGAGAAGCAAAGTGGATCTCTAGATATGTATATAGGGAGATGGAAAATCAACCTCAGTTGGAATCAATTAATTAATTTTCTTCGATGCTCCGGTCATCATAACATATACCCAGAGTGAAAATACCACCTACTGGCGACTTTAGACGTCAATACAGTCGTGTGTTGACACTAAACAGTTTCTTTCACCCAAATTTTTAACATTAGACATCTGCATTGTCATGTTTTCACATTAAACATACATACATTCTTTCACCCACATTTTTAAGCAGTCGGCTATTACATTTTAATACATGCATACAGCATATACATATATATTTACATTCCTACGAACCCTCTCTCGCTCTCTCACTCGATCTATCTTATGTAAGAGGACATTTACATTTGAACTGTTGTACCTTGAACTGTTGTAAAGTTTCACTTTATCCTTATATATATATATATATATATATATATATATATTCATTGGCGACTCCGTGGTTGGGCTTAGCCCGAATGAATCAACATTCAAGTATATCTATTTCAAAACAACAAAAATTTTTTGTAATGCGTCGTTTTCTTGGCTTCAGCTGGATCCAAAATTGTTTTAACTTTGTGCCTCAAAATATTGACCGAAATACATTTCGTTGATATTGTACATAATAAAGAAGAAAGAAAGACGAAAGAAAGAAAAAAAAGAAGCAAAGAAATAAAGTAAGTAAAAAAAGAATGAAATAAAATTAACATCGCTAGGTCGGGTTGCGTAGATGTGAGTCTTTTCAAGCTGGAGACATACTTCAAAGGCAATGTATTTCTTGCTTTAATTTTATAAATAATCTTTTAAACATCACTAATGACCTACATGCCCTGTTTTTCAAAGAACACATTTTTATTTCAACTTAATGTTTCAGATGTCCATTTTAAATAATTTATTCCGTACAGCATAAGGTTTTTTAGTGGAATGTATCAAATGAAATTTAGCCCGACTTCAAGTCGTTGAAAATCAGAGAAAGTGGCAGACGTAACTCGTCATCTGGAGGGTGAGTAGTGCGATTGAGGTAGTTTTGAGGAAACATTATATCAGTCATCAGTAGTGGTCATAAATGTACAATAAAATTCATAGACAGAGAGATATATAAATACACTAACACATAGACATATATATATATATATATATATATATATATATATATAACCCGGATATAAGAAAGTTGTCGGAACCGGAGAAGAAGTCTCTTATATCCGGGTTTCTCTTATATCCGGGTTTGGTCTATTTTGTTTAGGTAAGTATGGGAACACTTTGGGACCAGAGAAAATCTCTCTTATATCCGGGTTTCTCTTATATCCGGGTTACACTGTATATATATACACACCCGAGATAGATACACACATTATTTTTTCTTACATGTCTGTAAAACTTCTTTTTTTTTTAAATAAATGTCTATTTTTATAGAATTATTAGAATTAATATAAATATGTTTTTTTTAATTTAATGTACAGAGATTTTTTAAAGATATATATATATATATATATATATATATATTATCATCCACACACATACTGTTTCGCTGTATCACAGCTCATCAGTGTGGCTAGACGTCTGGTTGCCTCTAGCTAGGATCGAAACGTCAGTCGGGGATTCTACCACTAAACCATTGACGCACGGCAGAGATGAAGGTGAATTTAAGCGTATTTATTTTTAGATAAACGCAGTGACTGAGAGAACTCGATTCGATTTACCGAAGAGTCATATACACACTAAATTCTCCCGTCGAATTTGACGTATGAGGATCAAGCATATCAGTTCCTAGGAACCGACAGCCCTGATACCGGCACATATGATTTGATTATAGTGGTGAAAGCTTTGTGCAGAACCATGCACACTTTTTGAAGGGCCGAATACAAACGACCCACTGCAGGTTTTGAATTTAGAGTTGTCCTTTTCCTAGATCAGTTGCCATCCAAGGCTAGAGAACCCAATTTGTCGTGCTATTTACCCATAGCTGGGGGGGGAGGAGAAGAAGAAGAGGATTAATACCTTTCCCAAGGGTATTAGCATGTAAATGAATGTAATGGATTTGACTGGAATTCTAACTTGACTCTCCGATTCCTCAATCCAAGCTGCTAAGCATTAGTC